CCTTCTTTTTAAGGACTTACTCCCCTTGTCAGACAAATCCGCAAGTTCGATGCTAATCAACACAAGCATCTTCACCACCCTGCTAACCTACAGCACGAAACACTATAACCACACCTATACAATGCTACTAGATATAAAATAGTGAAGACCACATGTTATCCCTATGATACATCTTATCTCAGACTACAATACTTGGAAATACTATGCCAAACGGGAATTTCCATTAGAGTACCGTCTATCTCTTATAATACCATTCTGACTTCTTATATTTAATTCGCAGTTTTTTCACAACACTATAAGTACGGATGTTAGTTGAACCTTCTTTCTCTCGTGGAAAAAAACAATGTTCCAAAATATCTTTCTCTTTTTTCTCTGGTGAATATATCTTTCACTAGAACAAATACTTGAATATATGTAGATATATAGCTGGTATTGACTGTAGTTCTTAGATTATATGAATACTTGATTCCCAATTATCTGGGGAATCAAGGTGATATTCTGCAGAAAATAAAATCACTTCAACATGAGGATCCAATGAAAAAAACTACATAATGTGTGCCTACGGACAGAAGTGATTATACACCATACCTAATATACAACCCTTCCTGTACTGTGAAAGAAGAGATCTGCACCCGTGTCTCAAATTCGGTACATCTTGGGTTCTGGACCAGCCAACAGGGAGATAAAACATCAGACGTGAACTTGTACAGCCTAGATGCTACGAGACAGATAGTAGATCATACTAATGTCTATAAGGCTGTTTTGCTCGTTGAACAAGCTAAGATTAATAGGCTTCACATAGACACAATACATCAATATGTTGTTCACACTAAAAACGTTCACGAAACAACAGTGAAGACTGTGGAGATTCACGTCAGAATGAGTGGAAAGAGAGATGCTGAAGGTGCAACTTTGCACTGGAAGAAGAGTAATGCAGAATACTAATCTTGTTAGCTCTTAAACTTTTTTTTTTATATAACAGTACATATACATAACTTCCTCAAGGCTATGTGAGACACTATGAGATGAAAAAAAGCTTTTAAAATACATTCATCTTGTGAAATCGAGCATGGCTTTAGGTCCACTCAATGATGACCTGTACAATCGAATCGGGCCCTTTTTCTCAAGGCCGAAAACACACGCAGCTGAATCCGTAAATAATTCCATACTGTTCCAAACCATGAGTCTTGAGATGCTTTACGAGGACGTGACACGTGCCCATTTGCGTTCCCGGCCGCCGCGGGCAAGCTCCGTTATTTAGGAGAGGAAGAGGGCGTTAGCAGCCATCAGTAGTGACGCACACATGGCCAGCACCGGGGGCAGGAGCCTAGACACGCTGCTGGCATCCCCGGTGGTCTGGCTGTCTCCGTCGGTTGTGGCCAGCGACTCTGATACAGGGTTGTCCTCGCTGTCTTTGGAGTTTGTGGGCGTCTGAGTGGTAGTGGTCGTGGTGGTTGTCGTGGTGGTTGAGTGGAGCAGGATCTGGGAGGTGGGGAAGTCTCCCTCGATCTCCGTGTTGTTGGTAAGGTAGTATGGCTTCGAAAACTCTGCCCGCAGTTCAGCCAGGTAGTTGTGAATGTGGAGGCCCTCGATGCTCCAGGACCGGCGGACGCTGTCGCTATAGATGGCCGTCAGCAGGGCGGAGTAGGGCGCTTCGTACTTCCTCATGACGGCGATCAGCTTGACCTGAACGGCTGCTCCAGCTGGCAGGTTATACTCCACCTTCTGCTGCTCCATGTGGTCCAGCTCGTTTTCCACGCCCCAGGTAATCTCCCTTTTCACTCCCGAGGGTTCGGTGACGGTGGAGGTCAGGCCGGTGATGGTGCCCCGGACGCGACCCCAGTAGATCTTCTCCTGGGAGACGTAGTCCACCATGCTCGACTCCAGCTTCTCCTCTTCCTCGTTGTTCACCAGAGTTGCGTTGCCGACTTTGACGTCCTCGTCGGTGATCTGACTTTCTTCTTCGCGCACAACAATGCGGTCCACCTCGTAGCGGACGGGCTCGTCCTCCGTCAGGATGAGCGCGTTATTTTGACTGATAGCTTCGCCGTCCTTGACGAAGTGGGCGCGCCGCTCGCTCGGGGAGACGTAGCCGGCCAGGACGGTGTCGTTATCGTCGGAAATGGCCATGATCATGTTCGGGGTGGCGATGCCGTTGGGCGGCATGGCCGTGAGTCGGTCCCACTCGACCTCCAGCACCCTGGCGGAGTCGTTGACGGAGACGAGGACATCGTACTCCGTGACCTCGAGCAAGCGTCGCACGAAGGTCATCGTGCACTTGCCGTCGACGACCGAGCCGGCGATCCACGTGGCGTGGGTCTTGGCGCGGCACCAGAGCGGGCCATCCTTGACCACAGGGAGGGCGTGCGCGGGGGGGACGTCGCCCGCCTTCGTGTCCTCCCAGCCCAAGGTGGACGACGTGAAGATGCGGTTCTTGCCTTGGATCTTGGCCATGTCGAGAGCTCCGCCCACCGCCAGCAGGGCCGACGCGATCACCAGGATGCCTGAAAGACGCACAGAGGTTAGGCTTCGGAAAAATTTGAGCAAGAAAAAAACAGAAAGCAAAAAGTACATCATTACATGTATACACCTATACATACATAGATACTTATTTATCCATCTGTCTATATAATATCTTTCTATCTATCAATTTATACAGGGAGGAGAGAGAGAGAGAGAGAGAGAGAGAGAGAGAGAGAGAGAGAGAGAGAGGGAGAGGGAGAGGGAGAGGAGAGAGAGAGAGAGAGAGAGAGAGAGAGAGAGAGAGAGAGAGAGAGAGAGAGAGAGAGAGAGAGAGAGAGAGAGAGAGAGAGAGAGAGAGAGAGAGAGAGAGAGTACACCTATAGAACAGAGAACAAGAGAAACAGAGAGGTCGCGAGCGAGAAAAAGAAAGGAGCAGAGCAAGACCGGCATAAACTCTCGAACCACGGAATGCACTCGCCGCCGACGACCCTCCAGCATGCGTAATCCCGATCCTCCCAGCAGGTCAGACGCCACCCGTTCCCCGCACAGGAAAGTATCTGGGATTCTTCTAAGAGCGATAGACTTACTCCTACACCGAAGGAAAATTAAGGAAACGCCAACAATGATAATTCCGAGCCTTGTTTATTATTACGTCTCTTACTATTAAATATTCATAACAATATCCACTTGGTTTTCAACATCGGCTGAACTGCCTATTCCCCGTATTGTATTGTGCAATAAAATACCGTATCAAATGCAATATCTAAATAATCCAATATCAATATGATACCCAAATACTTTATTCTATCGTGCCACGCTGCTGTGTCATGCAATAAGTGCCACATCTTGCCACAACGAGTTCGAGTGCCATGATGACGTCATCATTCCCTGCATATCCCGTTACTTTAATAAACCTTGTAAGACCAATTTTGTGTCGTTTGCCTGCGTCTTTTATTTCATTTTTTCTTTGTTTTTTCACTTTTATTACCCGTTATGTCTCGGGTTATTTTTCCTCCGTTTCGCAATTCGATAGAAATCTACGGGATCCGCACTCCGCATTTCAATAGTGGGAAGCATATCCTTTTTTACACAATCAGTAACACACACACAACACACACACACACACACACACACACACACACACACACACACACACACACACAAAACTGGTTCGCCTTTATCTGCATTCCTCACTCACACTCACACACACAACGCAAATTAAGGCAATGGTTATATATAGAGTAAAATACATGGCATTAATTATATGAACTAGTCACGAGCCACGCTTGCTTAAAATAAATAATCACCATTGTTAATAGAAGAACGTCGAATTCAATTTAAAGAAAAGTGAAGAAAGAAAGAAAGAAAGAACGGAAGAAAGAAAGAAAAAAAAGAGAAAAAAAAACGAAGAGGGAGAGAGAGAGAGAGAGAGAGAGAGAGAGAGAGAGAGAGAGAGAGAGAGAGAGAGAGAGAGAGAGAGAGAGAGAGAGAGAGAGAGAGAGAGAGAGAGAGAGAGAGAGAGAACGAAAGAGAGAGAAAACACGGTCTGGCAATATTTCCGCTGAATTAACAACCCCCCCCCCCGCCCTTCGCCCTTCGCCACGTAAATGATCGGAATTCCAACGAGTTTTGATTAAATACCCCCTACTCGCCCCCTTTCCCCCTCCTCCCTCACCTCCTCCATAATCCCCCCCTCACCTCCCTCCACCCACCCCCCCCCTCCTCCCTCCACCCCCCACCCACCCACCCCTCACCTCCCCTCCAGCTACTCCCCCCACCCCTCACTTCCCTCCACTAGCTTTAATAATAATAACAACAGTACAGCTAATAATGAATGCATCATTATTATAATGATAATGAGAAAGATGATCATTAATAGCATTGGTAATAATAATATCAAATAATGATATTTTATAATAATGATAACGATAAAGAAAATAATACCAATAACAACAGCAACAATAATCATATCATTAGTATTAGTAGTAGCAGTAAAAACAACGTTAATTATGATCATGTTAATAGTAATAGTTATAATATGACGAGAACAACAACAACACTGACAATAATAATAATAATACTGATGTTGGTGCACTTGGGGAGGGAGGGAGAGGGGAGGGAAGGAGAGGAGGAGAGAAAGGGAAAGATAGAGGGGGGAGGGAAAGAGAAAGGGAGAGGGGGAGAGAGGGATAGGGAGACGGAGAGAGAGAGAAAGGGAGAAGGCGAGAGGAAGAAGGGGAAAGGGAGAGAGAGAGTGGAAAAAGTGAGAGGGGGAGAGAGTGAGATAGAGAGAGAGCGAGGAGAGGGAAGGATGAAAGGCGGAAGGGAGGGGGAAGGGAGAGAGAAAAGAGACAGAAAGTAAGAAAGAAAGAATGACACAAAGAGAGAAAGAAAGAAAGAAAGAAAGAAAGAGAGAGAAAAAGAGAAAGATAGAAAAAGAGAGAGAGAAAGAAAGAGAGAATGGCAGAAAGAGAGAAAATACCTAAACACGTTGCAACATCAATGAAAAGAATGACACGGCGTCCCTAAAAAAACAAAAATTGGAATCCCATCCCACGTGATCCATAACTCAATAACCTCATATCAAGGGCAGCTCTGAGACGCCAATATGAAATCCAAGTCATAGAAATCACAGAAGAACGGGAGGTTGGGGGGAGGGGTTGGGGAGGGGAGAGGCGAGGAGGGGTTGGGGAGGGGGAGAGGAGGGTTGCGGAGGGGGAGAGGAGAGGAGGGGTTGCGGAGGGGGAGAGGAGAGGAGGGGTTGCGAGAGGAGAGGAGGGGTTGGAGGAGGAGAGGAGGTTGGGAGGGGGAGAGGGAGGGGGGCGGAGGGTTGGGAGGGGGAGAGGAGAGGAGGGGTTTGGAGGGGGAGGGGGAGGAGGGGGGAGAGGAGAGGAGGGGTTGGGAGGGGGAGAGGGAGGAGGGTTGCGGAGGGGAGAGGAGGGGGGAAGGAGAGGAGAGGGAGGGGTTGGGAGGGGAGAGGAGAGGAGGGGTTGGGGAGGGGAGAGGAGAGGGGTTGGGGAGGGAGGAGGGAGGAGGGGTTGGGGGGAGAGGGAGGATGGGAGGGGGAGAGGAGAGGAGGGTTGGGAGAGGGGGAGAGAGGAGGTTGGGAGGGGGAGAGGAGAGGAGGGGTTGGGGAGGGGGGAGGAGGGGTTGCGGAGAGGAGGAGGGGTTGAGGAGAGAGGGGCTTGGGAGGGGGAGAGAGAGGAGCGAGGGGTTGGGGAGGAGGGAGGGTAGAGGAAGGAGGGGTTGCGGAGGGGGAGAGGAGAGGAGGGTTGCGGAGAGAGGAGAGGAGGGGTTAAGGAGGGGTTGCGGAGGGGAGAGGAGAGGGAGGGGTTGCGGAGGGGAGGAGGAGAGGAGGGTTTGGGAGGGGAGAGGATGAGGAGGGTTGCGGAGGAGGGAGGAGGGGCAGAGGAGGGGTTGGAGGGAGAGGAGAGGAGGGGAGGAGTGGGGAGAGGAGGGTTTTGGGAGGGGCGAGAGAGGGGGGTTGCGGAGGGGGAGACGGAGAGGGGTTTGAGGGGGAGAGAGAGGGGAGATGGGAGGAGGGGGGAGCGGAGGAGGAGGGGTTGGGGAGGGAGGGGGAGGGGGGGAGAGGAGGGGGAGAACTCCTCTGAATGCCTCTTCTCTTCCTTCTGTCCTTCTCTTCTTCTTTCTCTCGCACTTCCTCCTCCTCTCCTTTTCCTTCCCTATCCTGACTTTCCCTTTATCTCTTTTACTCGTACTCTCCCTCTACGTCTCGTCTGTCTATCTGCATGTGTTTGCCTGCCTGTCTGTCTGCTTGTCTGCCTGAATGTCTACTTGTCCGTCTGTCTGCCTCCTGCCTGCCTGCCTGATTGCGTGTCCGCCTGCCTGTCTGCCTCTTGCCTGCCTGCCTGTCTGTCTGTCTCTTGCCTGACTGCCTACTTGATTGTTTGTCTGCCTGCCTGCCTGTGAGCCTGCCAATCTACCAGTCCCCCTCCCCCGTCCCCCACCCGACCCACTTCCTCCTCGACCGGCTGACTCTCGAGAACCCCGAGAGAAAAACGCGATTAGCATATTCCATCAAGCCCTTCGGCCAGGCACCGTCACTTGTTGTTGCTGGCGCCGCGTCGGGCCGTCCAATCAGGCAGAAACACCGATGAAAAAAAGGGCGCCAGTCATTCACTTCTTCCGAAGTCTTTGCATCGATCTTCGGGCGGTTCGTCGAAGGAGGTCTGGAGGAGGTCAGGTCGTCAGGCGAGAAGACGAGGTCGGTCAACGCCTGTGAATTTTTAATCGCTTCTTGTAAATTCCTTTCGGGGGGTTTTATGGAAGGCAAGGCAGAGGGAAGAAAAAGGAGGAAGAAAATAATAGAAGTAAGAAAGATATGGAGAGGCAAGGAAAGGAAGAAAATAGCAGGGCGAAGTACGAAAGACAGGGAGAGAGAGAGAGAACGGAAGGAAGGAAAGGGTGAACTATGTTAATATCAGTTTGATTATTACTTTGGCGACGCTGAGGAAGTTACTCGACTATCGTTACTTTCGATATTGCTTAATAACATCCTCGTTACCGCTTAAAACAGCCTCTCGTCTAAAGATATTATCAAGCACATGGACCCAAGCCTTTGCTACAAATTCATAACGAAAAGGACTATTCAGACACCGTCCTTACACTGCGAGAACCTCAACACTCGTTGACATGTATAGCGAATAACGTTTCGGTCAGAAAACGACTAACGTATCACAAATCATAATGTCGAAACGAGAGAGAGAGAGAGAGAGAGAGAAGAGAGAGAGAGAGAGAGAGAGAGAGAGAGAGAGAGAGAGAGAGAGAGAGAGAGAGAGAGAGAGAGAGAGAGAGAGAGAGAGAGAGAGAGAAAGAGAGAGAAGAGAGAAAGAGAGAAAGAGAGAAAGAGAGAAAGAGAGAAAGAGAGAAAGAAGAAAGAGAGAAAGATAGAAGGGAGAAAAGAGAAGAGAGAGAAAGATAGAAAGGGAGAAAGGAGAAAGCGAACTACAGACTTAGCACCTGTCGTGCGTAGCGGCCACGTGCGGGCAGGTGCGAGGGCGCGCGCGCGGGCAGGAG